TTTTTTGCTTTCACATGCGTGTTTTTCTTTTTCAATGGAGTTGTGATATATATTGAGTCGGAATAGATGTATCTATTTATAACGATCAAATAATTCCACTACCAAATCAACATGCTACTACTAGTTAATCTTACGACAACATTAACACACGCAATACTTATTAGCTGTTGAAGAGACTCCCGAAGAATAATTGCTGAAGAGACAACTGCGGTTGTTCAATTAATTATTATTTATTAACTATTAATTATTAATATATAATTTGATAAATTTTTAGGTTATGGAGAAACAATGCGCAATACTAATTAACTGCCAAACCACGACATAAACTCCGATCAGACAACTGACATATGGTTGTTCAAATATGTATTTATTTATTAATTATTAATTAGGCATAAACTCCAATCAGGCAACTGACATATGGTTGTTCAAATACTTATTAATTATTAATTATTAATATTTTATTTGGTAATTTTTTATGTTATAGAGGAACAACATATTTTCATTACATATAATTTATTATTTATTATTATTAAACCCGTCAATGAATTAAAATGTAGAAAAATAAAAAGAAAATATGTGATGGTTCTTTGATAGTTACTTGCACATTATTTTTTTTATTAAAAAAACTGTAAATCATATAGTGACTAAACAAATAGGGGCGTGTGAGTTTTTAATAATGAATAACAACACGACAATTGAATCTTTAAATAATGAATTAAAAATTTTAAAGCAGATAGTGGGACTCCAAACAAAGATGTGGGCGACGTGGTGAATTTTATTGAATTGTTGTTTGACCCAACATGTGTTAAACGTAAGTTATGACTTTCTAAAAATAGAAAGTAAAAGATGGGACTCACTAAAAAATTTTCTACTTTTAAAAACTGTGTTGTCTAATTATATAGTAGATAGATTTCTACTTTAAATACGGAGTGACTTATAGAGATTTTTAAAAAAAAAATTAAAAATCTCAATCAAATACATGTAGACTTTAATACCCCGTAATTTTAAAAGTCTTAATAATTTTTTTGACATAATTATATATGTTGGAATAGCAAGAGTGAAAATTTGACCGTCTCAGGGTGTGAGCCTATAAAAGGACCAAAAAACCACAGTAGTCATTCCGTCACAGTGGCACCCACCCAAAGCTTATCTCTCATTCCTAATTTCATTTCATCTTCAATGGCTAAACATTTGTCTCTCTTAATCCTCTTATCTCTCATCCTCGTCTCCTCAATTTCCAACGCAAGGGATAGCCGATTCTTCGACAAAGTCACGACCAATGCCCAGCAGCCTCAGGAGCCCGATTTTCTCCCGCAGAAAGAACGCGGCTACGGCCTCTACGCCGAACCCCAGCTTCCAACCAAATCCGACCCCCAAAATGTCCAGAATTACAATTACGATCCAATCAGAAACACCAACAAAAACAATTACTACTACAACAATGCCGGCGATTTCGGGATGAGCGACACCAGGTATATGGATAACGGCAAGTATTATTACGACCTCCAATCAGAGTCGTACAGCAGAAATCACCCCTACAATTCCAGGAATAATTACAACGGCAACGCCGACACCGGTTACGAGTTCAACGGTGGTACAAGTTCCGATGGAGGATACAAGGACGAATTCGAGTTTCAGGATAACAATCTGCAATGAATTAATTGTAATTATTGAATGACGGTTTTACTCAATCGTCAATTGCTCGGTCATTGAATGACGGTTTTACTCAATCGTCAATTATTTATTAATATTACAAACATGATACTAGTATTTGTTTGAAATAGTATATAAAATTATTTGGTCTCGCCTATAATTATAGAATTACTAAACTAAGTAACTTTTTTTTTTTTGTTTTATTAATTATTATTATAATTATAATTGTTGAGATTTATAATAGTTATTATAATTTTTTAGTTTTTTTTTTCCGAAACGATAGAGGTAATATATATGAGCACAAAAGTGCAACAAAAACAAATTACAAGACCCCAACAGGGTAATACCTAAGACCCCAACAGGGTAATGAGACAGGGGCCACCAGCCCAAACCAAAAACACGCCTAAAAAGCTACAAAAATAACAAACTGAGAGGACACGCACAAGGCGGCCTAGAGAACTCAACAAAAAGAAAAAAAGGAAAATGAAACACAGAGCCACTGCACAATGCCTAGCCTGAATTCATCTTCCAAACAAAAGCAAACAAACACACCAACCAAGACTCGACAAAAACACACAACAAACACTGAAACAAACAAACAAACACTGAAAGTAAAATTAGAAAGCCCTTCCCCAATCGGTATAACACGCCAAACACAACAATGGCCGAGTGACCCGAGCTCCCAACTCAGAAACTGCAATAGAGCGCCTAACTGAGTCAGGAACCATCGGGCACAACCCTTGTCCAATCGAACAAACTCCACTAGCACCCCGGAGACCAAACACACCATCCAAACCAATCATCAACAATGGTCCGAGCCTCGAGCAAATTTGTCCGGCCCAGTAGGCGCTGACCGACAACCGGAACCAGGCAAGTCGACAACAAACCGACACCCCGAACCGACACCCCGAACCCTGTCTTTCGAGCACCGAATCGACATTAACCTCGCGCGCGAATTGGAGCAGATTCTCTCGGACGAGATAGAGCTCGAGTTGCGAGTGGCGGCGAACGGGGACGAGGGCGGTGATAGGGTCGTCAACAGCCGAAACCAGAGCCTCCCCGCAACCTATACCTGAGCCAACCAAATCCCCAAACCAGAGCCAACAATCGCGACTTCGATCAGCAGTGAAGTACAAATTGGACGGACGAGTCTCCACCCCTAACCCTAGATTGGGAAATCGGGGCCGCAGCCCTCTCCGGAAGAGCGCCCGAGGCCGCCGCGGCGGAGATACCGGAGGAAGAATAGCCGGCCGCCACTAGCTGCCAGTTCCGAGGCGAGAACCGGAAACTCGGCGCGACCTTCTCCCCGACGAAAAAGCATCCTCCGATCAGCGCATCTTCACAGAAAAGGCCGCGAAGGCCAGGGGCCCAACTCAGAAACTGCAATAGAGCGCCTAACTGAGTCAGGAACCATCGGGCACAACCCTTGTCCAATCGAACAAACTCCACTAGCACCCCGGAGACCAAACACACCATCCAAACCAATCATCAACAATGGTCCGAGCCTCGAGCAAATTTGTCCGGCCCAGTAGGCGCTGACCGACAACCGGAACCAGGCAAGTCGACAACAAACCGACACCCCGAACCGACACCCCGAACCCTGTCTTTCGAGCACCGAATCGACATTAACCTCGCGCGCGAATTGGAGCAGATTCTCTCGGACGAGACAGAGCTCGAGTTGCGAGTGGCGGCGAACGGGGACGAGGGCGGTGATAGGGTCGTCAACAGCCGAAACCAGAGCCTCCCCGCAACCTATACCTGAGCCAACCAAATCCCCAAACCAGAGCCAACAATCGCGACTTCGATCAGCAGTGAAGTACAAATTGGACGGACGAGTCTCCACCCCTAACCCTAGATTGGGAAATCGGGGCCGCAGCCCTCTCCGGAAGAGCGCCCGAGGCCGCCGCGGCGGAGATACCGGAGGAGGAATAGCCGGCCGCCACTAGCTGCCAGTTCCGAGGCGAGAACCGGAAACTCGGCGCGACCTTCTCCCCGGCGAAAAAGCATCCTCCGATCAGCGCATCTTCACAGAAAAGGCCGCGAAGGCCAGGGGAGCTACCACCATGTGCTCGCCGGCCCAACCGGGGAAGACGATGGAAAAATCACAGAGGAGCGGCGACGGGAGAGGATTTTCGAGCGGCGACGGGAAGATTTTTTAGAGAGAGCCATTTGTGTAGATTTAAAACAGATTTTGTTTGACTAAAATTATTTAACTACGGTTATCCTTACGGAACATAAAAGAATATCACACAAGTCAGTTGGAAAGAATATCTGTAGTTTTTTTTTTTTTCTTTTTTCAATTATTTAGATTTTGCTTGATCAAAATCAATTTATATTGTTTCTTTCAAGCCATATTCCATTTTCGAATGTCGATTTGCCGAATTCAAAAGTAATAATTTTATATTTGAAATGCCACGATGAAAATCATAAAGATGATTGGATATAAAAAGTTTTTGTTTTGATTAGATTTTTTGTTTGGGTTGGTTAAGTTTGGAAAAATTGGTATGGTTAGCTGTTAGTGGGTATATTAAAAGAATATTTAAAATAAAATAATTAAAATTAAATTTATGTAAAAGTAGGAAAGAGAATATGTGATGTGATGGTTAGTTAAAATTATGTGAGTTGATGAATAGTGAATTAAAGTTGATGTTGGGTGTAAGAATGATTGATTGATATTATTTAATTATATTGATAATATTGATAATAGTGGGGTTGAGTTAAAGTTGAGTTAAAAAAAGTGATTGAGTTAAAAATAATTAGACTTTTTAGGATGGGTTTATATCCAATCATGCTATAAAACTTTCATGATAATGAATAATATTTATATTTATTATGATATACTTACCAACAAAGAGTGACATATCAAACCAACCATCAATTACCAAAAGTTAATTTATATTTATCACCTGAAAACTTCATATCACATCAACCATCAATTAACAAAAAAATCCCAAAAATAAAAAAAATAAAAAAAAATGAATATTTAATTGATATTTAAAAATGTTCAAAATCTAAAATAGTACATGATAAAAAAATATAATATTAGGTGAAATCAAACTACGACGATTTTTTTTTGTTAATATAAATGTTGTAACTTATCAACTTTTAATAAATAGAATAAATCAAAACAAATATTTAGACAACATATTTCTATTATTCGAACACACGAAATACACATTATAGACAACATATTTCTAATTTTCTATTATTCGATACTGACTATGCCATGGAGTGTGATCAAGCAAATTAAGAGGTCAAATAGACCTTTGATTAAACTTCACATTATTCGCATGTTTCAAAGAACATTTAAGGTTTTCTCTTATAAGAATGTGCTCGAGTTAATTGTTTATGATATTGAGGTTTGTCTTCCTAATTACATTTATTGATTTTATATGNATTATTGTTCTAAACCTATATATTTTTTAGAGTAGGCGAATAACTGGCATCATACGCTCTGTTAACATACTTGTTGATGGACGGATCCGGTCAACGATTAAAATCAAATGAAGTTGGAAATAAAGAGATTGGATAAGAGTAAAAGATGCAAGAGAAATGGGAACTTCTTATATAATTACGAGTTCGGCCTCTACAGATGAGGTCGGAGTTTCTATTACAGGGCTTATTGCAGGAATTTGTTACAATTCTTAGAGAGAGAAAGTAGAGAGAAGGCTGAGTTAGTGGAGATTCAACAACCTAAAATAAATGAGGGCATCTTCTATTTATAATGGTCTTTATTGCGTCACTGTTCCTCCACTGTTCATGCTGCCTTGTCGCACAGTAATTCCGAAGGACAGGCCGGCGTCTCTCTGACTGATTGAGCGTAATTCGTGGATTTTCTAATCATTACCTGCAGAGCATTTAATGTTGGTATGGGCAGCATTTAATGTGGACAGACCTTCTGACGGGACTAGGCGTCCTAGGCTGTCAGGGGTATGGGGACACGTCCCATCTGCAATCATGGGCTGGCAAGTGGCAATATCATATTATCATCGAGCTCTGCACTTGTCCGCGAGATAGCCGCGCTAGAGCTCTGGGTCGGCTCCCGGGCCCATCGTCTTCTTCCGGTCTCCAAGATCCTTATTTCAGACCGTCTTCTATTCGAGGTCGGCACCGTCACTTTGACGACACAAGTGCCGCCCTCGAAAACGAAGCCACCCGGGTTCGGCAATCCCTTCGGTTCGGGGTTCAGCTCGGCACTTTCACGTTTGGACCGGATTACCTGCCCGGCTTCCGGAGTTCACCCGGTTCCCCTTTGGGCAAACTCGAGCGTTAACAATACCGAAGTTCATTGAGGAGCTTAAGGAGGGTGAAGTTTACGCTTTAAAAATTATTAGAGAGCAATATAGGCCTTTGCAAGTCCACAATTGGCATGTACGAATCATCCTTCACGGAAAACCGAACACATACACATTAATGGGTCATTCCGAAGTTCGTTTCTCTTTTAGGAGCTTCGTTGCGTGATGTTGACAACATTAATGAAACAATCTTATTTGGTAAGTCATATAATTGGTTTTTGGTTGATTCGATTTGTTATGCTTCAATTTTCAATCGTCCATATGTTTAAATATAATTTCTTTTACATGTCTTTGTTGTTAGATGTTATTAGCTTGGTCGTGGAGACTCATCCAATTTAAATAAAAAAGGTGAAAGGTGGTCCAATGCGAATGATTATTTCACTCTTATGGATTTAGAGTAAGTTGATTACATTTTGTGAGTTAGTGTTACATTTTTTTCTTTAAACGTATGCATATTCATATTTTATATATGTATTATAATGGAATTACTGAGAGCTACACCATTTGGGATTGGGAAGAGTATGTCGATATATTAATTACTTTCGAGAATCACTATTTGGAGGCCAATCAACCATTTGTATTGACAATACAAATTTGTCGTGCTAAACTTTGGGGAGGTAATTCAACTTTTTATTATTTTAATTTTTCAAATTTAATATCAATTTTGTAAAAAACTATATAAATTCAATTATTTTTAAAAACATTTATGTTGTCACCATTATATTTTGACGCTTTTTTTTTAGATTCATAGATTTATGGACTTAGTTAATGCATAATTATTAACGACTCATTTCTACATTAGATAAAGTTCAATTAACAATTTCAAAGGATGTCATATTGTTGATTGGCGTTGACACTGTTCCAGGAATTCAGAACTTTCTGATGAGGTAAAATTCATTTTATTTGTATAAATTACAATATTATTATAAGGAATAAATTTATGTGCTAAGCATAGGTTGTCAACGAGAAAAATCACGAATGTGAAGTTGAAGTCAAAAAGTTCGATTGTCGTTAAGAGTGAGATACAAGAGCTAGAGAATTGTGATATCGTCGTTAGCTCTGTTGATTCTCTCTATGAAACCGAGGAGGTAATTTGGAGAAAATGTTTTCAAATTTCAATTCACAAAACTTATCCATACAATATTATTTATCTAATTTAATTGTTACATAATTTCACTTTTCATTTTTCAAAGGCTATGGATACATGAGTTTGCGCAATAATTGACTCGATAATTGATGATTGGTGGTAGCTTGGGTGCAAGAGATGCAGTAGCAAGATGGAGAAGGTAGATGGTCAATTTAAGTGCAACAAGTGTACCCATCCACACGACACTTTCCGGTTAGAACCAAAAATTATTTTTTTTAATAATTATTTACATGTTATTGATTGCTTTAAATGTGCTTTTTCTAATTCTTAAATCTACAAGATTCGTTTTGGAGTTGTTGATGCTTCTGCAAATGCTACTTTCATATATTGGGATAGAGAATGTGAAAGAATAATCGAGAAGTCATGTGAATAGCTCAAGCGTGAATATTTCCAAAGGGTAAACATTCTTTTATCGATTTTTTCTTGGTTATGATGTGTAAATACTTAAGTACAATTGAATTCAAATATTTATGTTTTTTTTTCTATTCAATTTTTAATTTTTTTATAGAGTACAACCGTTTTCGAGTTGCCCGATGATCTAGAGGGTTTGGTTCGTAAAACCTTTCTTTTTAAGGTTCGTATCAAAGCAAAGGAGGCATATGCCTTCACATCTTCTTTCCCATTGTTAGGGTTGTTATTGATGAGAACTTGGTTTCAAGTAGAACCAATGGGTTTTTGAGAATAATGTAAGTTCATATACATATTAAATTTGTAAAATCATAAGACTCTTTCTTCATTTTCAGGCAGAAGCAATAAAAGAAAAATTTGGGGTTGAGAGTTTGAAGTCTGCACCTGTTGAGGATGCTGAAACCGACCATGTAGCGAATGGAGTTGGGAGTGTAATGATTAATATGCAGTTTGTATAAATGGCTTAGTTGGACCAAGTCCTTCGGGAGAGGAAACAAAAGGCCTATGTAGATCTAATCCATGAAGAAGGTGAAGAAGCCTGGAGGAGGCTGATCAAAAGAGTCTCCAAGAAGCCTGGGGTCGAGGTTGGGGTTGGGGTGGGAGCTGCGGTAAGAGGTGAAGATGGGGTCGCGAGATAGAGTTGACACTAACCGGGGATGACCCTGTATACATAATATATTGTAATAATGCGTGCAAAATTGTATATTGAGCTCTCGCTAAAATAGGATAGAAAAAAAAAAAATAGTGATTCAACAGCAAAAATCTAGTAAACATTGCAATAGGATTTTATTAAAAATCTGCTAAAACCCTGACAAATATATAGGTTTACTTTCTAATTCCACAAAGAGAATCTGCCTTACATAATCAATGAAATTCCATAATATGCCAAAAAGGTATAATATGCCAAAAAAATTCAGACCTTACAACTGAATGAAGAATTAAATAAAAGATGTAAAGGTAATATGAGAACAAACAAAACTACAAAAGCGTTATTAATTGGAAATTGATTAATTAGAAAGAAAAACCAAAAAACTACGTGCGTTCATTTATCTATGACTCTGCTATATTTCGAATAATTTCTGACGCATACACACCATTTTTCATTCTCTCTCGTCGCCGTGCTCTCTCTCATCGCCGTATTCTAATTTCCAAACAAGAGAGAGAGAGAGAGGCTAGGGAGGATTTTCATTAATCCTGTTTTGGTCTTCTAATTTCTCAAGATGAATGACCTATTGACGGTATATTTCTGTTTTCTTTTTAATTTATCATCATATTCTTCTTTGTCATTTATTATTATTATTATTATTATTATTATTTGTTGGGATATATGAATATGATGGTACAAATTTCCCTTCAATGTTGGTACATTAACTTTTTTTTTGCATGCATATGAAGGTTTTTAGCAGCTGTTGGAATATGCAATGTATATATTGTGACCATATGAACGTCAAAATTCGAATCTGTTTGACGTGAATTTAAATTGCTTATTTTATAAAAAAACAGAGATGATAAAACCTCTACGGATTACTATTGATCACCAACTGCTGAGGTCGGGGTTTTATGGAAATTTGATTTGACTCTTCGATTTTTTTTCTCTAGCCCAGTTTTTACCCCAATGTGTAGGCAGGTCTAGGAATTTCATGTGATTTTCACAAGCTAAAGAATAATTCATTTACAGATCATGCTGATTAAGATTGGTAATTTCGGATTGTTTAGCCTAAATAATTAAAAATATGAGGCAATCATCAAATGATTTGTGTACTGAGTCATGTTTCTGATAACTTTCATCGTGTGTGCTTTCATTTGCATTCTTTTAGAGTTTTGTAATTGTCGGCTGCAGAAAATTTTCGGCAAGTTTTCCTGATTGAGAGTTTGCTGCTAATGTGTATTCTTGACTGCTCCATTTTCCCTCTCGTTTTTGTGAATTTTTTTTCCAGGATTCTTTCGTGATCTCGAGGGATCAATCTCGCAAAAACCGAGATATTGAATCGGGATTGAATAGACAGATGAATTCGGGAGAAATAGGGTTGGAAACTTTCTTTAATCAGGTAGCTTTGGGGACTTTCTTTAATCTTGTTTGCTCAATGGACCTTGGATTTCAAGAATTTGCACGAACTAGATATTTAACTTGCATTGTTTTTTTCTTTTTTCGTTCTCTTTTTTCCTGTATTTGTAGGTTCAAGTGATTGAGAAACAATATGAGAAACTCAATGCACACCTGAGAAAGCTTCAAGTATGAGTTTCTATTCTCTTCTTATTTCCCTTTTCTTTATAGTTATCCACTAATTGGAAATAAAACTTTCTTTTATTTGCTCACTGTTATTCCTTCATAGTTTTGGAAATAACATAACTTATTTCTTTGACCACTTTTTGCTGCAGAATTCTCACGAAGAATCGAAGGCCATCACCAAGGCTGCAGCTATGAAAGGTATCTCCATTTAACCTAAGAGATTGTTTTCTCTAAGTGAAAACCAAGTTATCCTTTGGCTTAACTTTGGTTTTAACTGAATATGTTTGCCATCTGAAGAAATCAAGCGAAAAATGGAGAAGGATGTTGATGAGGTCGGAATAATCGCCCGTTCTATCAAGTCAAAGATTGAGGAACTCGACAGACAGGTAATATTATCATTTTCGGTTTTATTTTAGTTTGACCATTGATATTTCGTAAAGGTGGTTTTTTTTTTTGGCGTTAATCTTAATCAGAACTTAGAGAGTCGGAAAAAAGCCGGATGTGGACAAGGGTCCGGGATAGACAGATCAAGAACAGCTACAACAGTGTAATTAATTAATCGTGTTTTGAATATTATAATAAGGCGTAATGAAATCTGTTAAGTACAGAGCATTATATCTTGTTATTCGGGTTTTCATGCAGGGCATTGAAGAAAAAGTTCAAAGATAGGATGTCCGAGTTTCAGGTATAGACTGAAGTGCACGTTATGTTCAACGTGCTTTTTATTTCTTTTCAACTCTGTTTTTTGAGTTTTAAGTTAATATTCTGTCCTAATATGTACATTTTCACAGACTTTACGAGAGGATATACATCAAGAGTATCGTGAAGTCGTCGAGAGGCGTGTGTTCACAGGTGATGATAACATTTTATTAACCTTCTGTAACTTTCAAGAAAAACTACAAAAAGCTATGTACCCCTCTGTGAAAAAATTTTGACAGCT